GAAACTAATATAAATTACTAGTAGAAAGAATACTATGTAATAAAGTAACCCTACGTAGAGGAGAGATGTGTAGTTACTTAACTAAATATACTCTACTCCCTTACTTATTATATATATATATATATATATATATATATATACATAACAGAAAATTTACAAATTATTGGTGGAACTTAATAAAAAAATGAAAATACCTTTCATAATGACACATATTTCATTGAATAAATCTCTATAACTGCCTTGGATTTTATTATTTTGTTCTATATTTTGAATGCTTTTCTTCCTTAAAGATTTTCTTTTCAGAAGGATGCTATATTCTCCAGTTAGTATGTTACTAATCACAAGTGTATTTGAGGAAAAATTATGTATGATTTAGAAAAATTAATGTCAGAAAAAAGTAAGAAGAACAGTTAATGTAATATTTTGTATGATGTAAATATTACATATATGTATATAACCTGTACGAAAGTTATTCTGATTTGCATAACTAAATTTTATATTTGCAGGAGAACAACGAGAATTGAAGTATTAAAACAAGACAGTAGTTCGCTGTACTTATCTTTTATTACACCGCATACTAATGACAGTGGTACCTATACATGCACAGCAGCTTATGATAGTTCTGAGAAGCTAGTAGAGTCAATTCATGTCACTTTTTATCGTAAGTTAGTATTTTTTACTTTTGTTATACATATTGTAACTGAAAGAAGTGGCTTGTAATTTCATACCACAAAAAATAATTAAACAAATTGATGAAAAATTTTTGTCTTTAAACTGCTTAATATACATGTTTTATCAATGATTTATACTATTTGGGGTATATATCTATTAAATTCTGTGGTGTAATATTATAACCAGTTTTAAAACGTAATGACTGAATTATTCATTTTTGTTTGTTAGTAATATGTATAGTCATGTATAGGTATAAATTTTGTGAGTTAAGTGTTGAATTTTCATCTCTAGGTTATTAATGATACTGTAAATTTGTTAATGCTCTATTTCTGCGCCTTTAGAATTGCACGTTGTTTTTCCCTTCAGAATGAAAACCAACTGAATAACTAAACTTCCCTTTGAATTGCATATACATGTAACTTAGTATTTATTAGAAGGGCATAGTACATAGCATTTTCAGCATCTTATGTCAAATTGCATGGAAGAGTAGTGGCACAATGGAGGCTCATGAATATAATGCTGCTTCTTAACAGTGCAATCTGTGATCGTCTATCCACATTATGATGTGTCATGTGCATATACTTGATCACTGTTATACTGTTATCTGTATTCAAATATTTGAGAGGTTGTTTTTGTACTATGCAGTAGCATGAACAAATCACAAACAGTATTTGGCACTTGTTTTTTTACATAGTTCTTTATACAGTATAATTTTTTATTTTGCAAAATTTTTCTGGAGAATTTTAAAAAGCATGATTAAGTTTCATCAAACTATACCATTAAAATTATTATTCAGAAATTTATAATTTTAAAAGTAGAAGTTAATATTGTTTAGATTATATCCAAGATTTCACTAATATGAATTGATAAAATGTATCCTAGAGATAGGGGGGGGGGGCTACATATATTTATTTATTTTTACAGCAACAAGTGAATGCTAATGATCACATGATATGAACAACCACTTAATTGCATTGCCTGAACTAACTGCCTTTGGTCCAATCCGAGTCTAAATATGCACACTGATTGGTTGAATTGAGGGAAAGAAGAAAAACAAAATGGCACAAAATTATTAATGTGTTGTGCAACTTCAGTGCTTCATACCTGAAAAAACATGAAGTGCTAAATCTGCGACTAGAATCATTGAAAAAAAAGTTTGATTTACGACTCAAAGAACACAAAAATAGTTCCGGTCTTCCAAGAGTCCAGAACTGTTCTAGATTCGAGTTCTATTCAGCACAGCCCTACATTTGAATAAAATGGGAGAAAATACTAGGCACCATGATGAAATTTGTAGTTGCCATAGTTGCCCTATTGTTCTCCTTGCTTTTGCGATGTCTTTTTATGGGTACATTGGAAGTGTGAAAGTGGCTGGGGAGCAGCAGGGGCCAGGGAAGCTGGTGCCCCAATGACCATGGCCCGCATACATAAATAATTGGCAATTGCTTCGACATACACAATTTTTCATGTGCGTGGAAGCCTGTTTGGTGTATACAATTTTTCATGTAAGCCGTGACTGGCCCCAAAGAGATGATACCCCACCTGCTGCTGGATTATTTATGTATGTGGAAGTGCTGCAGCCTACACAATTACTTATGAACGTGAAGTCTTATGTGCTCCCCCAGGCTGGTGCATTTGCCCTCCCTGCTGCTGTTTGAACAAACTTTATTTTATTAAAAATACTTCACTAAGAAATATGACATTTTGCATGTGAATATTAGCTGAAACACTGCTGAATATCGTGAAGATATACCCAGTATATTGAGTGTTATAACTGTTAAATCTATTAAGACTTTAAATGAGCAGAAAAGGTCAAATTGATCAACCCCGTAGTGAGAGGGCTAATATATCATATTATCTTGTAGTGTGTAGAATGTTCAAGGCCTCAGTCAGGCTATAAATACATATACAAAATGTAGTTTTAGTTAGATTTATAAAAGTTAGTAAGACAGAGCTAGAGAAATAGATCTAGACTGTATACTTATGAATTTAACCATAAAGAGTGTATAACGGCAACTTTTAAAGTGAAATTATCGCAGATTGTATTGTGTTTTAAAATAACTGAATCAGCATGTGTGGACTTTGATGAAAAAATACGATTATTTAAAACTGTGGATGCAACTGTGGTGATTAACTATGCAACAAACTTTTTATATATGTTGGATTTTTATTTTAATATATTATTGTTAAACAAATGGACTGTGTACTGTTTGTTTATTGCTGAAACTTATCACCAACAAGTCACAGCCATCTACTGTAAAGAATTCTGCCATTCATACATAAAAACCTGACAAACACAATGGATACTTCTCAACACCTACACAATGCTAAGTACCTTAGTGAAATGGCCAAATTTTCCATGGAATATTAGAAAACCACATTTGAAAAATAGTAGGAATTGTTGTTACTGATAACACAGGAAATGTAAAAAAAATGAGTCTAATATTAGAAGAAGATGCTGAAGAAGACCAGCTTGTTATGTATGGATGCTCAGCTCATATGTTAAACTTGCCAACAAAAGATATTCAACAGGGTTCTCACTAGGATCCCACAGTGAAGGGTCCTGGAGACTCAAATTTTTTTTCAGTGAGTCCCAGTGAGATTTTCAAGGGTCCCATAGGTAGAATTTAATAAACTAAAAAAAAAAAGGAAAAAGCACTTCATTATCGACAAAAAACTTTATTTACAATTTACACTATATGTTTCCCTTTATGAATGCAAAGTACTTCTCATGATAAGATTAAAAATACTTTTCTTCATCTGAAAATCTTCAAATTTCGTTTGCATAACCCCTAAAACCTTCTAAATATATATCTCAAAAGTTTTTTCAGAAAACTTTATATTTTATCTGTTATTTTCTTTACCTCTATCTGAGGTCAGTTGATTTGACTGACTTCGTAAACACCATAAAAATTAAGAAATAATTATAAATTTTCCCCTATTTTCTCTCGGAAAACCACAATTATTTATCTTAAGTAGCTTAAAGCTTGTAACAGTATACATCTATTTATACTTAAATTTCATTGTTCTATTTCCCTTTGAACTGTCTCTAACTACTATTCCCACCATATACCTTGTAAATCACATGGCGAATGTGCAGCTCACATTACCATATCAAATTACATAATGCATGTACTGCTCATGAGCATACCTCATAAAAAAAATTATTTATTTTACATTATATAACCTAAAAAGTTTTCAGTTTTATGTTTTAGTTACTTTTATAATAATAATAAAGAACAAACATGAAAAACAAGAAATATAGTACTTACCTGGTTTTTTTTTTGCTATTGACTGTCTTTGAAATTGAACCCTACTCTTTAATACTAATTGTACTACTGCATTAAATAATTTCAATTTAATTGAATAATGCATCAAAAAACACAGAATAATAACATGCAAAAAGGAAACAATGTAACACAACTATCAACATTTTTCTGGCTTTCTAACTGTGTGACAAAATCCAATAGAAAAATTCAGCTACGCTTGTAAATGTGTTTCCCATGAGAATAAAGTTTTAACTGGAAAGAAAATAGATGTTTCTTTGTACAGACAGCAATACATCATTTGATAGAAAAAACTTTGGCTTTCTATTAGTTTTAAATAATATAGTTGTAAATGTCAGAGAGATCTATTGGCAAGTTCTGAATGAGAGGAATGTGACAGGTGGGTGTGGCAAAAAGGGTCTGATTTTCTATTTTATTGCTATGTAACTAAATAAAATTAAAGGCTATGTAAGTTATGCTTTGCCTGATCGATGAAAACATTATAATAAGTTATTTACATTAAATTTCATACTTCTTGGAGAGGTGGTAAAAAATTAGAAAAGAGGAAAGACATCGATAACAAACATCACAGTTCTTGTATTAGGAATGATTAAGAATTTTTTTTTATATTACTTTGGAAAATTAAGAACTTAAAATTTAAATAATGTGAAATTTTGAATTATTATCTACATTCCAATGCCAAATTTTATCGTACATTGAAAATAACGTAGTTTAATTACATTTTGAATACAACTCTATGACAGGTTGTGACATGTGCACTTTGACCTACCTGTGATTTTATTTTCATGCAATTTATTACCATTGGTGAATCCTTTTAGAAGTTGATTGTTGACAGTTGTGTACAAACTTTATGCTGTTTAGTTTGATACGGTTCACAGTTTGAAGCAAAGTACCTGTGTTTGCCTTGCATATGAGGAATCTTGTAGTGTTTATTTGGTACCCAGGGGGTCAAATCTTGTGTGTCCTGACAAATTATTATGCGTTCAGGACCCTGGAATTCAGGTTAATTAAAACCCTGTTTAAATTGCTTCTGTTATGATAATATTGTAGAAGTAGTAAAATACTTCCAAAATAATCACCTTGCTGCTTCGATTTATCAAGCTAGTGGGAAGCAGAAGTTAATTCTTCCAAGTGAAGGTTGTTAGAATAAATTTTCTGATTCTTTGAAAATATACATTGATGATGATATGTGAAGAAAATCATAACAAAATAGACAGTAACATTCAAAATATGGAGAGGAATATGAGCCTCAAATGAAATTGTGAAGATTAACTAATTAGACTAAAGCCCATATCTGTTGCCTTAGATAGGGTTCATCATGATTGAACTTCTATTATCGATGCTGTAGAAGCATGGAAAATTATTTTTCGAGATCAAACAAATGCAGTAGTTCCTACAGATGTAAAAAACAATTTTCAACTGCCAACAACAACAGAATGACAAGTACATTATCTAACAAGTTCAGGTCTTGTTCAAGTGTTTTTTCTGTTATCTTTTCCAATATTTTGTTAAAACAAGTAGTATGTTCCTCAAAATAACACAATTTTATTATACTTATAAGTCGTTGTCAATTTACTATTTATATTAGCATAAATGTTTTCATACACAAGTGTTAAAGTCTTATGTAATAGGACTTGTGCACTTATTCACTAGAGGGTTCAGCAAACTAATCTATTTCTTGTTTTCTCACATAATTTCATTG